CACCACACACCCACACCAACCACCACACCCACCAACACCAAACCCACACACCCACACCCACACCCACCACACACACCCACAACACCACACCTCACACCCACAACCACCACCCCCAACCACAACACCCACCAACCCACACCCCACACCCACACACCACCCACCCACACACGCAACCACACACCCACCCACACACCACACCCACACATCCACACACCCACACCCACCCACCCACCCACACCCACCCACACACCCACACCCACACCCACACCCACACCCACACACCACACCCACCCCACACCCACGCCCACACCCAACACACACCCACACCACACGCACCCCACACCCACACCCACACCCACACTCACACCCACACACACACATGTATGTATATATATATATATATATATATATATATATATATATTACATCTACATGATTATATCCGTATATCGGTGTTTACATGCACAAAACAAACCAATGTGCGTACATTTCTGCATATCAGTCTATTTTATCCACCTGTCAATAAACCTCTATCTATGTATATATAAATCCACCTGTATATCTATCCATCCACTCAGCTACCACGCTATGGCTCTGTTACACCGACCGTTCTAAATCGCATCGCTCTCCCCATCCCACCTCGTTCATATACAGAACGGCAGCCGAGTCCGGTTAAGCCCAGCTGGGCCGATGACCAGCCGGCAGGAGTCATCGGGACTGTAAGTGTAGCATCCGGGCGGAGTCATCCGGACTGTAAGCGCAGCCGCCGGGTGGAATCATCCGAACCGTAAGTGTAGCAGCCGGGCGGAGTCATCCGGACCGTAAGTGTAGCAGCCGGGCGGAGTCATCCGGACCGTAAGTGTAGCAGCCGGGCGGAGTCATCTAGACGGTAAGTGTAGCAGCCGGGCGGAGTCATCCGGACTGTAAGCGTAGCAGCCGGGTGGAGTCATCCGAACCGAAAGTGTAGCAGCCGGGCGGAGTCATCCGGACCGTAAGTGTAGCAGCCGGGCGGAGTCATCCAGACTGTAAGTGTAGCAATCGGGCGGAGTCATCCGGACTGTAAGTGTAGCAGCCAGCCGGGAGGAGTCATCCGGACCGTAAGTGTAGTAGCCGGCTGGAGTCATCCGGGCCGTAAGTGTAGCAGCTGAACTATCGGGCATTTTCATTTACCTGCAGCATTCGCCAGGAAAGATTCAAACACATGATCAGCTATTCGACCCACTTCGAAGGAGAAATCAGGGAACAGAAAGGTACACTGGCATGTGTCTAGTGCGTGCTGAGAGGGCAAGAGCAAATCACACTCATCGGATCACCCCCAAACACGTTAAACATATTGTTTCCCCCACAGTATTCGTTGAGCAGCGTGTCAGTTTATCTGCTCCTCGTCTGTGTTATTAAGGTTGGTCCTATAACCGACTGTATGCTTTGAACCATGCTGCTGCGATATCAGACGGCATTGCAGTGGCTATCCATAGCGGCTTGCGCATTGCAAGATGCTGTTGCTTTTGCTGATGACTGATGTTAATGATATCATCCCTGAGTTGGAGCAACGTACAGCGACGGCCGAGCGAAATCGGCGGCTGCAGTCGGTGATGATGATTTGAGCCCTGCCGCATCGGGATGCAAAGTGGAGGGAATTTTATCGTTACTGGCAACACACCCACCTTCTAATCACATCCTTGAATCCGAACGATCAAAGAGGTTCCAACCGTGGGCGAGCCTCTACGAGTAAATCTTTGGATGCGCTCTTGCCCTTATACCACCAATATTTTAATCCGTTCGTGTCTGCTAATGGACTGCTCGCTTCAAATGGATACGGCACAATCTCAGTGTTACGTTATACCCTGAAGCATGCGTTTTGGATATGACGAACGGTAAAACTCCGATTGTGGCAGCCTGCTAACCTCGTTTTAACGCAGCCCCCGTAATGTTGGCATTAAATTTCAGGACCCGTTCGCTTTTGATCTAATTTGCTGCCACCAAACTGGCTGCGAAAAAACGGATTTCTGTCACCATGTTGTACCATCTGGCGAATCGTAAGTGGTTCTGACCGTTGCGTGCGCCCAATAACTGCGTCGTGGCAGCAGCACTCGCCGAAGCTGTCGACTGTGTGCTGCTGGCCGCGTCAAGCAGTCGTATGTTTAGCTTGCGTGAAACCTGATCAGCGTCCACAGGGACTGTGCACACCGCGCGGTGTCCATGATCTCCTGGATATACAAATAAATAAGTAAATAAATATATGTATATATATATATATATATATATATATATATATATATATATATATATATATGTGTGTGTGTGTGTGTGTGTGTACATACATATGCATATATGTGTATTTATGTACGTATCTGTATGCATGTACACACACATATATGCATATATATGCATATATGTATATATATATATACATATATATATATATATATATATATATATATATTATATATATATATATATAGGAGGGTAAAAGTCCACGTTGAGTGTGATCACGGCTGCTGAGCGGACACGGCGCTGTTTCAGCTGGACCTGATCTTGCCAGGCGAGGAGGGGGACTCTAGCAGTTTTCTGCCGAACGGCGAGTGGACGCTGCTGGGTAGGTGTCTCGACCGAGCGCGCTTGGTTTCCACTGTGCGTCTGGCGAGGGCTCACGTCCCGTTGCAAGCTGCCTCCTTGGCTGGGTTCGAGTCCTGCCAGGCGCAGAGACATCTCAACCACCCGTCTGCGAAAATGAATGGGCTAAATTGCTCCAGAGAAGCATAAGCCTAGCATATTTCTTCAGGCTTATGTAGTAAAAGCGGTGATCTTTGGCCGGTTACCAGCCGATGAAATTTAATTGCAGATTTCATCGCTCGGGGAGGGGGGAGGGAGGGAATAAAGTGAGATATGATGCGACTTTGTCAAAAGCTCACAGCCAGCGAGAACGGAATGCACAGTTCAAAATCGCTCAATTTCTACATAAGAACGCTGAGAGAACGCAGCCTGCAGCGCGGACGCCCGCCGATATTGCCGTCTTTCTCTTTTCATCATAATCCATTCTTAATTTAAAAAGCAGATTCCTAACTTGCTGTGCTTATACATGTGTCATGCACTCATCTGCATATGTTCATGGAGCAATGCATTTGTGAAGGGTGTTTAAGTTTAGATTGGTTTGTTCCTTTCAATAATGTCTTGCGTTGTTGTTTTTTTATATTTTGCTGAGCTTGTGATATATTATTTGGTGACTCCCGTTGCTTAAGCGATGCCAAGTATAAACTACATTATTCTTAGATGCATCGTTGCTCCTTGAATGGCTTGAACTCAAAAGGTTAACTCCGTTGGCAGATGTTCTATACTTTGTGGCAGGATAATGTGCTTTTTCAAAACCATGTGTTAATCTCTGTAACTTGCAAGAGACCGCAGCGCATACATTGCCAGGCTGTTCGTGTGCGGCAGATATTTTGTGTGATGCAACTGTTTGGGTGTGCTCTTTGTATTGCTTCATGAACATTGGTCGAGACAAATACTAATGAAACGTAGCCTGTGGGTTGCATAATGACTGTGCAAACAAGCAAAGCTCTCCTTCAAAACCTATTGCGCAGAAATAGTGACGAAAGCTGCATTCAGCCCAATCAATATGGAGGTCATTCACATGAGATCACTATGAGATCACATAAGATCAAAATGGAGATCACTCACATGAGACCAACAGATGAGAGCATGACTCCGTAGTGCCAAACGTAAATATTGTATAAAACTGTGCTCTAAATGCGTGTTGTGTGTTTCTTCTCTATCTCCCTCTTTCTCTCTGTTTTAGGTGTGCCCGGGGTGCGAAACGAAATTACTTACGCCTGTTGCCCACAAACATATATCGATGTAACGTATAAGATATTGATCAGAAGAAGAACGTTGTACTATTTCTCCAATCTGATAGTGCCGTGCGTGCTGATCGCTTCAATGGCCGTGCTGGGGTTCACGCTGCCGCCGGACAGCGGCGAAAAGCTCAGCTTAGGTAAACCACTGCACGTCGCAGCTTCATCCGCCCGTGGCTTTCGGCCGGCTTGTCGGGGAGGCGCCAGGGCCAGTCGGTGGTGGTCAGGGGCCAGCTCCAGCGGTCAGGGGCTCATGGGCTCAGCAGATTAGGGTCAGCGGTAAGGGCCTCCGGGTCGACGTTCAGGAGCTCAGAATCGGCGATCAGGTGTGACCCGATCAGCCAGACCGCCGTGCGATCGGGGGTCAGAGCAGAAAAGTGACAGCGCTGCTGTGAGGGAGGCACTAACTTACGGTAGGCAGAGGGGGGTTGGGTGGAGGGGGGGACAACGGCACCCAATCGCGGAACCCGCCGTGTTGCTCGTCATCTCACTAGCACTCCTCAGTTTGCATGGTTTCCTAGTTCCTAAGAGTATCTGCTGTCGTTTTGGTAGCTTTTACCGGTAGTCTGAGCTAGAAGCTCTCACTGCCGCCTTTGCCGGCGACAGTTGCCCGCGGCGGCACTCCCTCTCCCATTTTACATTGCGCGTGGGCTGGCTCTGGCACCTCCCCCGGCCGGTGCTGGTACGTGCTCGTGTATGACGTTGTGTGCACAATTTTCCAGGTATTCCAGGCAAGCGCAATGAAATCTCGTACGCCTGTTGTCCCGAGCCCTACTTCGACATCACGTACACTGTCCAGATCCGGCGGCGCACGCTCTATTACCTGCACAATCTGGTCCTGCCCGGCATCCTCATATCCACCATGGTGCTGCTGGCCTTTACATTGCCGCCGGACTCCGGGGAGAAGCTGACTCTAGGTAGGCAGGTGGCACGCAGCCCTGCCTGCGCTGTGAACGCTGTCTGCCGCCCGGCGCAAGGAGATGTTCACCTGCTCCCGCCCGGGCAGAAAGCGAAGCTCGCTACGCTCTCGTGTTCGTTTAATTGCTTTTTTGTTTGCTGCTTGGTGTAAGCTGAGTTTGATTGGATGCTGTTGAAAATGCCTCGCTCGTGTCCTTATGAGCAGCGGTTTTTAGTGAGGCCATTTTGTACCCTACCTGTTTTGCCCTCTTGCTTTGTTCCTTCAAAGAGCTCTCTCTTTCTCTCTCTCCCTCTCTCTCTCTCTCTCTCTCTCTCTCTCTCTCTCTCTCTCTCTCTCTCTCTCTCTCTCTCTCTCTCTCTCTCTCTCTCTCTCTCTCTCTCTCTCTCTCTCTCTCTCTCTCTCTCTCTCTTCTCTCTCTCTCTCTCTCTCTCTCTCTCTCTCTCTCTCTCTCTCTCTCTCTCTCTCTCTCTCTCTCTCTCTCTCTCTCTCTCTCTCTCTCTCTCTCTCTCTCTCTCTCTCTCTCTCTCTCTCTCTCTCTCTCTCTCTCTCTCTCTCTCTCTCTCTCTCTCTCTCTCTCTCTCTTTCTCTCTCTCTCTCTCCTCTCTCTCTCTCTCGCTCTCCCTTTTTACATATTACTGTGCCAATTATGTTGTTGATTGTCATTAGCTCTGCTGTTTTATTTTTGCTTGCCTGTTTGCTTTTAAATGCTCCAAAATTTTGTTCGGCAGAGTTTTTAGCTGCAACAGGCTGCACCGTTAGGTGAACATCAATCTTTAAAGTCTGTCGTTAACGAGCCCAGAATCACCCCATTAAGAGCCATTAGGTGCGGAATATTTGCAAAACAGTCATCCCCAATTGCTTAAGATTTCACCATGTGGCAAAATTAAGTGCCTCTTCAGCTTTTACTCAGTAGCTTTCGGTGTCACGCCCTCCGTAATGTTGTGCCTGTCTCTCCCAGCTACTGACCGATATAAGTGTTGGACTCTGCGCAGCTTTCCAGTAGTTCCTACCTTGAACCTGTTCAACATATAAAATGTCCGGTGCCTGTGCCTTTTCTTGTGTTCATTCCATATTGGCAGTTGATGTGATCACACTTTTGTTATCACCTTTGAAAACGTGTTGATGTCGCCAAGACCATAGTATGAAATCATTAATTCACCATGCATAAGATGACTAGATCGGCAGCGGACTGAGCGGGAGTGCGCCCTTTTCCATCATTTGAGACGCGAGGATACCGGTAAATGAAACTATCTTATTGAGATAACAAACTAAGTTCTTTTGCAGCGAGGTTCGTTTACCGCATCCTCATGATATCGCATACTTGATCATTGTTGCTCCGCTGTATCTAACAAAATTGGCTGATGATGTTCGGATTAATGCTCAAAAGAAGCTGATAAATTTGTCGCGGAGCGTCATTATCGTTATTAGCTTTCCCAGTGGTACTTGATTCTGCCGGGTCGATGCACGTCTACTATGGATTAAACACGGCCATTGCCCATCTAGTTATATTTTGTCATTTCTAACTATATATTATCATTTGCGTCATCAGTGCTGAACAGTGAGCCGATGTTGTGCTGTAGAACCCATCTCGACTCAAACAAGAGCACTCTAGACCAGCTTTCGATGTGGAGCAGTGTGCCATAGTACTTAGCCCTCGGTGTTCCGCTGTCGCTGCCCTTCCGACTTCACACCAAACGTTATCCTGACATCCCATCACTTAAGCCCATATTCTGGATTCGCACAGGTAACTCAGGTGTGTGGGCATCATCGGATGGGAGGCGAGCCTGCTTAAATCAAATGACGCTGATATGGTTGATTTGCATTGTGTGCTGATGGTTGCATTGGTTGCTGAACTGTCATTCGGCGTATATACTCCTATGCATTTGTGTGTGTCTTTGCCGATGATAGGAGATTGTGTTTGGATTTTATGCGATGCAGCTGTTGGAGGTTGACGATGGTTGACTTCTCAGTAATACCTGACTCGCGTATTGCTGTTCCGATGCGTTCACCTGTCCCTCGCCCAGGCATGCTTGCCCTCCCGTCGCTCTTTCTTTCGTCTATCCACTCTATCCATCTCTCTTTCTCTTTCTCTTTCTCCCCTCTCTTTCTCTCTCTCTCTCTCTCCTTTCACAGCCAGTCTTTACAACTCCCGAATACGGTTGTACTGCCTAGTTTTGGCTGCTTGCATTCTGTTTTACTGTCGGTCTCTTTTGCCTTTCCCCTTTCTCTCTCGCTTTCACTCTCTCTCCCTCTCTCTTACTCACATCTCGCTTTCTCCCGGTCACCTTCTTGGTACCTCTCTGTTCGTTGTTAGCTTTACATGGGCAGTCAACGGCGGCCCCGCTAGCGCAGCGTGCCCTGTTTGGGCGAGAGGTCTCCGCCCGTTCAGGTAGTTAACCGTGTGCTCTATCTTCAGGGGTCACTGTTCTCCTATCTCTGACCGTATTTCTCAACCAAGTCGCCGCGAACATGCCAGAGACCTCAGAGGCTGTGCCTCTCCTAGGTAACCCAGAGTCAAAATTGCACTTGGACTCCCAGAGGGCTGGACGCTGCCACTAAATATATTGCTCGAGTCGATGTTGTAATGGCCGACCGCGTAAATCCAGGAAGCACTGCCCTGCGGACATACATATATAAAGCAAGCCATAAATTCATGCCTGTCTTATACACTGTTCTATAGGATTACAGGGCATCACGCATGTCGTGTTTTGTGTTTTCTTTCTTATGACGCATGCGCCACTGACCTTTGGCAATTCATCCTGACTGATCCTACCTGATCAAACGACTTTCCACTTTCAGAATCACGGCTGACCTCTGTAAACAGTGTCAGACTCTCACACTTTCTTCTTTTATATACAGCTCTTTCCGCTGGACCTTAACGGCGCGAGTAAATCGGTAACTCACCGTCTCCATTCCTGTTTTAGGTGTTACAGTTTTGTTGTCCCTCACTGTCTTTCTAAACATGGTGGCCGAGAGTATGCCAACGACATCCGACGCTGTCCCTCTTATAGGTAAACACCGTGTCACCGTTCGGCGGGTGCTTTTGCCGACTAGACCTGAGGGGACACCACAGAACGCTCGCTCCAAATTGCGTTCGAACTTGCAAGAGAGTCACGGGCCATGTCCACCATTTATATCACAGGTTACGGGTCACTTCCGTGATATCAGAGGTTGTGATTCCTCCAAATTTCCGTGACCGTAGTCCCCATCTAGTCTCATAGCCTCCGGACGAGCGTCAGATGCAATGCCTGTACTAGGTAGAGAGCCCGGCCGGCCGGTACGCGCGAACGCCGCTTCTGGCGCGTGAGCGCCGGCATCGTCGGCCGAGCGGCGCCAGCCGAGCACGCGCCGTCTACGTCCAGAACGCCCCGGCAGCGGTAGACGTCCTCGCGCGGGGTGTACAGAGCAGTGTCATACCAGCGCCGCTTATGTCGAAACCCTGGCATCCCCCTGTCTTCTCTCTCACGCTTTTGTCTCTCTCTCTATCTCTCTTTCTCTATCTCTCTCTGTCTCTGTCTCTGTCTCTCTGTCCCTCTGACGCTGTGCGTGCGGAGGCCCCGATAGAGTCGGCTCTGTAACTGGCGCATGATTGTGGGGGGTGGGCTGTTCGTTGAGCCTCGGCAGTCGGCGGTCGGTCGACAGTGCGCCTGACCCCCGCCTTGTTTTCCAGGCGTTACCATCCTTCTCTCGCTGACTGTGTTTTCTCTAATGATAAGCGATGCTTTGCCGGAGACTTCCGACGCGGTGCCCCTCATAGGTCAGCACCTCGGCACCCAGCATGCTCTCGGGAATGCCCGCCGGGCCCGCGGGCGCCGCCGCTCCCGCGCCTAACACGCTCAGCCATGGACCTCCTTGCATTGGGTGCATCGAGCCACCTGCGCCGCCTGCGCCGCCCCCTCCGGGCCCCGGGGCGGCTGGCATCGGCCTGCTGGGTTTGGCCGCGTGACACATAGAGCAGCCGCAGACGGGAGCTAGCGCGCCCTCGGGACGGGCCGCCGGACGGAATGCCCGGGGACGGCGCACCATCCCAGCTCTAGGCGAGGAATGGCATGCGGGAACGCGGCCGCCAAAGACGACACCCGACAGCGCAGAAACCGCGCCGACTAACCGTGGTCTGGTAAACAGGAACTAACACCATCTGCCCATCCTCACCCCTCGCCTTTCTCGCTGGCGTCCAACAGATGCCTTCAAAACGTACGTTCCAAACGTGCCCGCTCTTGTCGCGTGGAATAACTGTCCATAGTTGTTTGCCAGTAGCCGTCTGTTACTCATTAATATCTGTATTTCATTTGCAGCATTTCAACAGTTTGTGTTTTGGCGGCGTAACTGTGCCAAACACTGGCAAAAGACATATCGTTAATACGTTTTCGTCTTTTACGGGATACGTTATACAGGAAATCTTAAAAGCATGCGAGCATCTCATTCAAACGTCTTTGCAAGCTAGCGAATTAACATAAACCATGTAAAATTTATTTGATGCAGGAATATATATGTGTAGATATATATATATATATGCATATATACATATATAAATAGTATATATGTATAGATATATGCATGATTAGTAATGTACAGATGAAGAAAATCGTGTAAGCGAAGCCCGTCCGCATAAAAGATTTCCCCAATTTGTGTTCACATCATTATTGTCGCATGAGTTGATTATCAAGGCACATCATTTACCAGGCAAAACTTTGATGCGGACGGGTACCACTTAGATGGTACAATGCTAATTAAATATATATATATATATATATATATATATATATATATATATATATATATACGTATATATATATATGTATATATATATATGCTCTACGGTGCTCTGCAGTGCTAATGATATATATATATATATATATATATATATATATATATATATATATATATATATATATATGCATATACAAACAAACTGCACCGTTTCATCTTTCAATTTTTTCAGTTTCATTCATTTCATTTCGTACGACATTTTGTAAAAGATATGAGAAAACAAAAGTAACTGTCGGCCGACACACTCAGGCCACTTTGGACTGATATATCAAAAAGAGAATTAATAGATTCCATCATATTGGCATGCTGTAGTTAGTGTGGCCAAATATTATCACAGCTTCCATATTTCAGCCCTCAATTAAAACGTTGATCAAATAACTTCAAAGCACCCATCATTTGTATCGCACTCTCTAATTGATATGTTGCATTGTCCCAATTATCCACCACCTGTAATCCAGTACTAAACCAGCTCTGGTCAAACCCGTCATTTACAGCCATGTTAGATATTTATTGATTATTCAGCTGATCATAACAGCATACTCATGATAGAAAACACATAATTTCTGTCCTTAAGCGTACATCGACATCTGCACCTATGTAGCGAGTGCAACATGATTCGCGTTGTTATTACGGTATCGCTGAATAATTCCCTCTGGCGAATCGTTCAATTCCTTCTAAATTCCTGCCATTATGGCCAACGTTTGCCTCTAACGTTGTCAATCGCACGAGAAGCCGGCGGCAACCAGAGACGGCGACGTTGCATCCCGGGCTCAGATTGAGCCTGTCACACGCGGCACGAGCCGCGCGGACTGACGTCACCTGTCGGCACACTACGCCGCCGCTGCACGTTTGTGACACGCGTCTGACATCCGTGCGACACATCTGTGACACGCGTGTGACACGGCGCGCGGCCGGCCTGGCAGTCTCGGGGTTGGGTGTCGTCTTGGTCTGCGCGCGTGCCAAGACACACTTGTCGCGGGAGGAGGCGTCGGGGGAGGGGGGAGGGGGAGGAGTGTGGTGCCGAGGAGGCACGCCCAACTCAGGCGGTTAGCGCCGGACAAACGACCGCTCTCGGGGACGGGGTCGGCGAAGTGGCGACGTGACGTGTGCCGCGACCGTTCGGCCACGTCCCGACTGACCTTCGGGAGCGGGGCGGGCGTGACGGTGACTGACCAGCCCCGGTCCGGCGACAGCGTGACGCGCTGGCGGCGTCGGCGGCTGCGGTGGCTCCGTGCTGGGGGCATGGCGCGCGCGGCCGCGTGCACGACGACCATGGTCATGGCGCGGGACGAGCGTTTGGGGATGGGGCGGTCTGCTTCGACGGGGATGGCCAGCGGGGAGCAGTGATGATAAGCACGGGGGTAATTACGCAGCTCTTGTGAAAACGGGCCGTTTCAGAGCCATGCAAGGGGTGAACACAGTATCTGTGGTGTGGTGGGAGGTACACGCATAAATGTCCCATGCGTTGATTTATGCGGCGCCACAAACGCCTCAGGAGCGCAGCAGTCCCCCCGTTCGCTACGTTCTTCGTAGGTGCGCTTGGGGGGGGGGGGGGAGGAGATTCGATTCGGTGGTCTGGGGGTGAATATCGCTGGCTTCTTCTCTCTTCGCGTGGGCGTTGCACGATTACATTGCACTAGCGCTCTCAGATGAGTAGCTTTTTTAGCGACCTCGCTCGAAGATTTGACAGCCCCATTGCGCACATTTTCACCATGCATTTTTAAACTGGAGTACTTAGATATACTTTCTTATTACCTTAAGTTGAAAAAACAAGTATTGAGAGTCGTACACCGATGTATCCCCGCAATGTGTTCCTGTCAACCATTGTGCCCATCCATTCTCCATCTAAACCACGGCTAACTTTTTTGATAACCGACGCACACGCACACGAGTCACTGTCTGTGATACAATGGCCTCGCGACAAGTGACAAGTGAATGCTTTCCGTGCATGGCTTTGCATGGTTAAGAGCACGGCTGTTTGTCATGCACACTGCATCGTCCAAAGAACAGGCAATGTATCTGATTAACTATATTAACCGCATTCAGTTAAAGTCTAATCAAAATCAGCCACGCGCTTTCTTCAGAGTCTGTCTGGTCACGGTATTCTTGAAGTACCTGAGCCTCGACCGGGTGGCCACCAGCCCGCCGTCCGGACTCTGGGGAAGGCCGTGCTAATCCACGCCATAAATCTGGCGGCCTTCCGATTTGTCGGCCCGTCCCCCTCTGCGACTCCAAGCAGCCAATCGCGTGCCTCCTCCGCCGAGCGCCCTCCACCGGGGCCTTGGTTTGACGTCGGCCAGGTGCTCCTGCCGCGTCTGGCCGGCTCTCGGCCGTTGGGTCGCTCGGCGTGCGCTGAGGACTGTGGTGTCCCCTCCGATCTTCAAAGCAAGGTTCTCATGGCTGATGATCATTGGCTGAGAGAGTCGCCACAGTTTGCGTGTGTCACCGCACGGTCCCTTTCTGCGGCGGCGAGGCGCGAGGTGACTACACCTCACTTCGCGAGTGGTGGTCAGGCACCTCCAGCAGCCGGCGTGTGCGTCCGCATGCTTCAAACTAGCCCACTGACAGCACTTGCGCGCCTCGCGCTCGCAGGAAGGGACCAAACAACTGCCGATAAGTCAGATAGCCAGTCGATAAATATGCATGGATTAAACTGGAGCTCTAAAATTCGACCGAGGCGTGCAGGGTCACCGTGGCGGGGGCCCACAGGCGCCGCCAGGTGGGCCCTCGACGCCGGCGGCCCCACACGCCCCGGAATAACACGGCCTGGCCCTGGGGCTGCCGCTCGATGCCGCATGGCGCACTCCATCGACTGGTTTGATGCATGCATATTCCGCCTTTGCCAATACACACGGTGCTGCTAAACAAACGCGTGTCCGGTTAAGCTTGCCGCTCTTTAGGTGCGGAATGTATCTCTTGCCGGAGCGGATCATGAATTCAGGTCTATATGTGAACAATACAGCTTGAGATCTGCACCGATTAAAATGAATGGGCGTTACCCTCATTGTATTATGTCCTCATGACACATCTGAACATTTCGAGGCGGTGCTGTGCAAAGCCAGCGGTGTTAGATGTCATAAATGGTGTCATGATATCTAGAGAAATACGCGGACAAAATTCGTCTCAGAAGCATGTTAAACGTGAGGTCGTCACCCTACATGTTTCTGCTTGTGGGATCACGACGGTTTGGTCACGTTTTTATTTTTTCCCTTCCTGTCAGTTTCATTTCGGCGTCAACTTTGCGATCCGAGGAATCAGAAATATGTGAAGTTCTACCCAACTGACAAAACTTGTTTTTCGGCTTCTTTTCGGACGAAAGCACCGCTCCCGTCAGGCTCTGGCTGTCAGCTGTTTGTCCGACAAATGCTCAGATGGGTCGCCCGTGCCGTCGGACGCTCCATTTCCCGGGCATGTGCCTGGGACGCTCGTCAACGGTCGTCCAAGTTTGGTCGGAGGGCGCTCGTGACGTCACTCGGCCCCCGTAAGAAGCTGCGACAGTCCCAGCGTTCAAAACTTTTGTAATGACTGCGAGATTATGCCGCAGACCCGCTCCCAGACTCCGCTGAAGCCGTCAGTGTCGACGCGAGCGCCCTCTCGGCGCAAACTTCCGAAAAGATGCGCCAGCCGCGGTGCATTGCTAACGCCATCTGTGCTTGTAGGAACGTACTTTAACTGCATAATGTTCATGGTGGCGTCGTCGGTGGTCAGCACGGTGCTGATACTCAACTACCACCATCGTTCCGGCGAAACCCACGAGATGGCGCCGTGGGTAAGTGAGGGGGCGTCCTGACAAGAAGACTGGTGGATGACCTGGGTGCCGCTCGTCGCCAGTGCTCTGCCCGTGTCGGCCCTAGCGCCATCTTTGCACGGGGCTCCGAGTTCATGCGCGACTCACTGCAATCGGAGATCAGCCGGCCATGGCAACAGGCATGGCCTCGCCGCGGGCTGCCCCAGTTTCTCGTCCCGTCTGAGCACACGCAAGGCCTGTCTGCAATGCAGACAGCCTCCCCGAAAGGCCAGGCCTGGGGTACATGTCTAAGGCGTGCTGGCTGCCTTATTACCTCATGCTTGGCTTCTGTTTCTGATCATGTAGCCCGGAATCCGTCCGAATAAGTCAATTAGCCCCAACTCAAGCAAAAACGCAACCAACACACGGTGTACATCTGCCAGTTGAAGAATGCTGTCGGCTTCTGCTTTTTTACATTTTGTCCTCTTAAATTTGTTAAGTTCATTTAAGCTCCACATCTCACAATTTCCACTCCCTCCTGTAAATTACTCATTCAAACGGCTGCCGCATGTCCTGGGATGCTATCGTTCCCCCATCCTCGTACGTTTAAGCCACTAGTTTTGGGTGTGTGATCGGACTAGACCATTATCTTCTGCCACTCCTCTAGATCTCGGCTCCAAGCACGTGGTAGTCGTTTCCTGACCTCAGTGTCTCCCAATGTCTTCCATGTGTCGGCCTCGCTTGCTTGCGAAAATTGCGCATGCTTTGGGTGTGCCCCCCAGGCGCGCCCCCCAGGCGCACCCCAGGTGCGTGCTCTATTTAACAACGAGAGACTTCAGGAATGCAGCTGACTTTAAATCAGTCGAAGTGAACAGGCCTCCAGGGGCTCGTGCGTTTCCAGCTTGCAGCCATGCCAGGTCGAGTGTAATTTCATTTCACCCCACAACTTAGCGGGGTGCGGGGTGAGGGATGCGCGGTGCGGGGTGCGGGATATCAAGGCCGGCTGATATCCGGCGTAAGTCTTTTGGTGGTCCTGCGCTTGGAAACAGCGCTTAACGAAAAAAGTAAAATCGATCCAAGTGCGTTCAGCCACAAGTCGCCTGATACATCGGTCTTTCGATGCCGACAGAGGTGTTTCGTCCTCAGCAGCTCGCCTGTGCTCGAGAAGCTCCCGTGCCCCACCCAGCCAGGGTGTCTTCGACACCCCACGCTGCACGCATCCAGACCCCTCTTTGCTCGTTGGAGTGTCGAACCAGTGTCGGCGGGATGACTGATCTCGGAAAACTGGACGGGGTTGATGCTGCGTGTGGTCATCCTTCTGTGTGACGCCATCACATCTGCGTCATCTGTCCTTTAATAATATGAGCACATATAATAACAATCAGAGCGCATCTGCCCTGTTCTTCGCGTGATGCGATGACATGTTTGGTGCCCTCTCCAGTGGGTGACGTCCTTATCACTGCGTGACACTCTCCTCTGCGTTGCGATCATGCCCAGTGTGTGACGTCCCACAGCTGCGTCCCATCCTTTTCTGTGTGTGATGTGATGACGTGTGCAACATCATACCTCTGTATGAAGTCATCGCCGCTGTGTCAAAGTCTCCTGCGTGAGTTGCCCTCTCCTGTGTGCCCCCCCCCCCCCCCCCCCCCAAGGCCTGTGCGTTGCACCTGTGCTTTTTCTTGTGAGTAGCATCATTGCCGCCGTGTGAGGAATTACACGGCGTGGGTGGCGTCATAGCCGCTACATGACGGTACTCGTGTGAGTGACGGCAACATACGCGAAACCTTCCCTCATGAGTGACGTCATATCCGCTGCGTGACTTCCTTTCCTATGGGGAGGAGGTCATCGTCACAGCTGTGTGGCGCCTTTGCTGCGGGTGACGTCACCGCCGCTGCGTGACATCACAGCTCTCCGCGTCGACAGGTGCGCAGCCTGTTCCTGCAGTGGATGCCGTGGCTGCTGCGCATGTCGCGGCCGGGCGAAAAGATCACGCGCAAGAACATCATGATGAACAACAAGATGAAGGAGCTGGAGCTGAAGGAGCGCTCCTCCAAGTCGCTGCTGGCCAACGTGCTGGACATGGACGACGACTTCCGGGGCGCGGGTGCGCAGCAGGCCAACTCGGCCAGCTACATCCGGCTGCCGGGTCAGTCGGTGGACGACCTGACCATGCACAGCTGCCTGGCCGGCTGCAGCCGCGAGCTGCAGCTGATCCTCAAGGAGCTGCGGACTATCACCGACAAGATGCGCAGTGACGACCACGAGGCCGAAGTCACCGGCGACTGGAAGTTCGCCGCCATGGTGGTGGACCGCATGTGCTTGATCGTGTTCACGCTGTTCACGATCGTGGCGACCGTGGCCGTGCTGCTGTCAGCGCCGCACATCATCGTGCCGTGACGCGGCCGTCGCCGCCGGCGCGCCTTCCGACGGTGCCAAGCGCGATGCGCGCGTCGCCCCGCGCCGAGCGGGGCGCCTGCTCAAGATCGGCCGCGACCGCCGTCGACCCCGGCCCCGGTGCCGGTCCGGCCCGGCACGGCGCCGGCGCCGGCGCCGACCCCGGCCTCGGCCCGGCCCTGGCTCTGCTCAGCGGGCTCCACCGGCGTCGGATGGAGCTGCCTTCTCACCCTGCGCCGGACACGGGACCGCTGGAGCGAGCCGTCTCCGTCTGCCCCAGAGAGTAGGGCAGAGCGGGGGGCTGACGACATCTTGTTCGCCGGCCCTGACTCGCTGCTGCCCTTACTAGTCGGTTAGGCTGTTATCGTGGTGCCACGAACACCTTGAAATCCGATGCTGAGGTCTGAGGATATCTTATGTATCAATCTACTATGCCATTTTACCTTAACTTTGCGTTTTGCTCCTATTCTCATGCATATGTATATCCCTCAACTGCTGCCGTGACTTCGGCTTTGACGTGTCAAAGTGACAAGGTGGATGCCATCGGTTGTACGTATACAATATTTTTATAACTAGCTATCTTACACCATTAGATGGTATTTGGGATTGGGGAACCATGTTGCCAAACCAATCAAGGAATGACAGCAGTGAAGGGACTTTGCCAAATCTTCTAAACATAGTGTAGGCCTTAGGGGGATAGAGGGCGTTGTTGAATGGTTAAATCTGCTAACCCGTCAGCCCCAGGTACGACCGCCTGGGGCGTTGTTTGTAGTCGTAGCATACTTTGGCTGGTTGAAACTTTAACAGCCCGCCTGTCTAGTGAAACGGACTCCCGTTAAATGTTTGCCTCTCAAAGTCGCTATAGAGGCGTCTGTTTGGAGAGGCTCCACAAGTCTTCGCGTTAGAAAATGTTTAATAGTTAAAAGAATATAAAGGCCCCAAACGCGTATCATACATACAATTCATGCCAGTTGCTCATGTAAAGCGGTGAAGACGTCGGTGCGGGCTTTAAGCTTTACAATTTGGTAGGTCAAACATTTTCAAATGACACTGCCCTCAAGTGTTGTCAGAAAGATTTTAGAAACGCTATCCACCAGTCCAAAACTCACTGCGCTATGTATCTCACGCATTTCAATGAAGCGTGCTTGGCCACTTTAAAGTCATATTAATATATTTAAAAGCAAAGGAACCAATGACATGAGTTCTTGCAATGTGAGTATGGTTTAGCCCGACACACCTTTTTGTTTGTGACATGTTCGAGCACTTTCCGCTGATGAGTATGCTGACTTAAGTTGCGGTGATTTCTTTTTTCGCACGTTATGCTATGTTCTTTTTCTGTCTAGATATCGACAAAACATTGCATGGATTAATTTTGTCAAATTTAACTCCAATGGTCTTCCAGGGAAAACCAAAGAGCAAGGAAGCAGACCGTACGATCAGACTCTCTTGTCAAGTACAGAGAGCCCGTAACGCATCAGCCAACTTTGAGGTCTCTCCTCGCTTTTTCCATCATTTCCTAAAAGGGGCACAACTTACGGCCCCGTGGCCGACAGCGACCGAGTCAGATTTGACTTGCATCCCCTTCTCTGGCACCCTGCCCCCCGGCGCGTGAGTGACAGTCGGTCACAGTGCGTGCCCCAGCTGCGGCCAGCACCAGCACGCTGCCAGCTGGGCGCTGGGCGGGCCGGCCAGCGGCCAGCCTGGCCTCGGCGGCGCGCGCGGATCCTCGGCCGGCTGAGATCAATACCGGACCGGAGCCAAGACGAGCCGCCCCCCCCCCCCGCCCTCTCCACTCACTGTCCTACACACCGCCTCTACCGGCCGGCTCCGTGGCTACCCGTCTCCCAGGGTGGTGGACAGGTGTTGGTTGGTTTAGCACAGCTACTTCCGTCACAAGTCGGATCAGCGGACCCCAACGCGGGATAGGTCTTCCTGTCAAATTTGTTCACTGCTCATGAATTCCTCCATGTTTTCCTTTTTCGAGCAAACTTCTGGAATAGAACAGAACATGTATTACATGACTGAATTGTTTGAATGCGATTGGCTCACGTATTGTATCGTAGTATACAAGGCCATTATTTGATTGTTTAAGTCCGAAATAGATCTCGTTGCGGCACGACCTCGTTCGGCTGCATTTTAAATCATGTCAAAGTAATAGTGTTTTAACGTTTAAAGCATTACTTAATCATTGTCCGGTTGGGCATTATTTCCCTGTGAAAATAATTATGGTAGACTTTGATTATACCGTATGTCAGTAACGAAAACAATAGATCATGTTTGGAAGCTTGTTAACTGGTGTTTGTTCTCTGATCTGCTATATTTACATACTGCATGTATCGGTGAGCTAACTACATTTGCTTTACCAATGGTTCATTCTTGCAGTTATCCTGGAACAAATAAACATAGACAGATCAACAAAACAGAGCTCAGTGAATTTATGCTCAATCATAGAAACATAGCCCCAAGATATATCTTATATCTAGGAAAGACTATACAGCATCTTCCTTAAACCTAGTGTATGCGTGGGACGTGTTCGGTCTGCAGTGCATTGTGTCTTCTGTCGTAGTTCCACATGAAGAATGTGATATTGATTATCTGCATATTGAAGCAACGCTGTCCTGGATGCTGTTGAATGGTGAATGGCTGATTGTTACGTGTGCATTGTGCATTAACATTTGTAGAAAACATTATCATTACGATACTATTGAACTGCCTGGAGTGGATCAGTAAAAATGGCTTCGTATCGACTGTGACCAAATGTTGGTCTTTTTTTGTTAATTTGCTTTTGACAAGACGATAAAGGTTCGCAAGAGCACTTTGTCGCTCATCCAGAGACATGTGTTGGGCCGAAGTGGTGCTTGCTGGAGGAAAGTTCCATAGGTTTGATAGTGACATGGATTGTTGTGACGCGGGATGCATGTTATGTAAATATTGTAAATTGTTATGATACTCTTTATAATCCAAACGATTGTTAGGGTTATTGCAAATTGTCTTCATGTCTGTTTCAATACAAAGGAAGACAACAAAGAGTTCAGCAGCAACACATTCATCTGCATCGTTTGATTTTCTACCGGTTCGTGGCTGGTGCAATTTATATCAGATGCTTTCGTTCAGAATGCCTGCTAAACAACGCTTGTTGCATATGTTCTGAATCCATCACACAAGTCGTGCCGTTCGTCTCGATGGATTACTTTGTTTTTGTCCCTCCCTCGTCAGACAGAAGAGCGTGAAAATCTAAATGTCTGCCGCGGCACGACCTGCCCGTGACTGGGTTGCAGAGGAGGATTCAGGATTTTGCCGGGGGAGAAGGCACGCAATATTATAGTGGCCCTGAAAGTTGTGACCCCCCCCCCCCCCAAGAAAAAAGAAATTGCATTTTGCTCCACTGTGTTAGCTGAAATATGTACAACATGTGCCGTTCCAAATTGAAATGTGCGACTCTTAGTGGTGCCCCTAATATTCGGCAACTCGTATAAATGGGGTTGTTGGTGCCGAAGGGAAGGTTTCGGTACCGCTCACGAAGAGGCTTTGATGCCGCTTTAGGGCCCAATACGTGACTCGGAAACAGCATCCGTGTGCGCTTCCGAATGGCCGCTGCCCCTTAAAGTTAACTTTTTGATGCATTTTTAGCTAAGAAACGACCTTATTTTCTCGGTTTTAGGGACAGGCGTGCCAAGAACGACTTATTCTCTCAGACCATGTCGCCTGCTTTCTTGCTGTGTTATAACGTTGAAAAACGATACCTAAGGGAATAATAACGATGACGATGTGGTTTACATAACGATGCTCGTCGTAACGGAAAGCGCAAGCACATGCTGCCTATAATTGGCAAACATCTGGCAATAATATTATCCACTCATTGCTTCCGAAATTATGTATGTATAACCAATCCAATGAATACAGACGCATAGTACTTGGCATCAAAACCTGTTCCGGAGGCCTAGGACCATGGTTCGAAAGCCGAATCACGCTATGGCTTAGAACTGCACTGGTCTGCGCCGTCAAATTAAGCCGATCTACCAGCATCTGGGATTATCATTAAGTTTGGGAAGCATGTCAGAACGAATCATTTGCTCCCAATGTTTATCACAAACTTAGCTTGAGCCTGCCAACCAAAAGTATTTCCATGCAAAGCGGGGAAAAGCGCCTCCCGAAAGTAGCACAGGCCAGCGACGCAAAGAAGAACAGCTCGTTGTTTCGCTTTGGTGCCAAGATATACAGACAGCTATGCTGATTTCTAGCAGCTCTGCCAGCGTTATACTCGCATGATGCAATTAGCGACTTTCGGCTCTAAGATTCGTCCGCTGCAGCTCTTGACCAAGGTGAGAAACGCCCAACATTTATCAAAGACGTGGGTACACGCAAACGTCATAGTGCTTTACTCAGTCACAGTTTGTTTAGCCTGTCCTAAAACCTTGCATCCTCGCTAACGTAAATATGGATTACAGCGGTTATGAATATGACGCAAAATTTGATCTCTGTTTTATGCTCCAGGTTGTTTCGTGGCTTGATATATTTGTGCCTTGCAATGTATGTGCAATTGATACTTTGTCCACGCTGCCAGTGGCGAAGCCATCTACTATTTTTATGTGGTCTCAAAACATCACCCCCTAGAGGTATTTCGTCACAACAGATGTGCCCCTTTGTTGCGCCCCCTCCCCCTTCCCCGCGCCCACCTAACCCCCGCCGGCCGCCAACTTGCTCGGGGCAAGAACAACGTATACTGCCACTTGTGGAATTAGTTACGTGATTAGTTCACAGCAGTAGTTCACAGAAACAGACATTGTATATAATTGCAGTCCATGTATGTACAAGCCTTATAATATTTCACATCAACCATTGCCAAATCATCTGGAGCCGGATAGTTTCAGTGAATGAACCAATCATGGCATTCTTTATGAAATTCCGTGCCAATACGACTATGCTTACGACTTACCCAGCTTGTCGTTAATGCATTTTAACTTAAATAAAAGCTGCGCAGGAAATTGTGACATTAAAAGCTGATTTAAAAAGCCACCGACGAATGAGAATGCACTTCACACTGATACTATTAAATATTGCCTTGAAGAAGCCCGTCTTTAAACAACGGTGTACCAAACCCTCCACCTGCATGTGCCTGTGGCGCCCCAACTCCTCGCACGACACCTGCCGTGTGAAAGGTCATCTTACGGGCAGGTGGTGGCGCCCACCGTACACTCCCTGATCCAAGACAGCACGGAGGTGACCCGGGTGTAAATGCCGGGCGCGGTGGTGGCGCCGCACAACTCCCCGGCCGAGACCACTCCCACCACCTCCCAGCGCCTGCGACGGTTATAGTAGGTGAGCCCACCGCCGGCGTCTCCCGTGCACAGGCCGTGCCCTCGTCGGGTGCTCAGCGCGCACAGCACGCTCGACGCCGCGGTGCCGCGCGCCGCCTGGCAGGCGCTGTTGGAGATGATGCGGACGTTGAGCTCGCGGAGCACATCCGACGGGGTGCTGTTGGCGGCCGCGCCGCCCCAGCCGGTGACGCTGGCAAGGCGGTTGACATACTGCTCGGTCAGGCGGGCCGGCAGGCACGCAGGCGCCACCTGGTTGCTGTACGCGACGAAATTGAGCGGGCGGGATAGCCGCAGCAGCGCGACGTCGTAGGCGAGCGACTCGTTGGAGAAGCTGGGGTGCACGATGACGCTCGATACCGGCAATCCTAACTCCCCGTCCGACGTCGTGCGATTGTGCTCCCGGGCGAACACCTTCAGGTGGTAAGCGTTCAGGCCGGCCACGCAGTGCGCCGCCGTCAACACGTACCGATTGTTGATGATGGTGCCTCCGCCGATGAAGGTGCGGCCGTGCGTCAGAGCTACCTGCCACGGGTGCTCGCTGGGCTGCGCAACGTTGCCGCCGGCGATGCGCGACCGGCTGTTGCGCACGCCACACCGGCACGTGGAGGCGGTGACACGCACCGTACACCGGAAGCCGGGTCGCACCACCGAGAAGTCGGTGCTGAACTCCAGCGTCATCTGGTTGGTGCTGGTGACGCGCGGTCCCCGCCTGCCGCAGTACCTGCGGTCGTTGACGCTGAGCCAGTCGTAGCGGCACCCTCCGACGCTCTCCAGATCGAACCTGCTGCAGCGGACGGAGATGCGGTCGTTGCGGAACGCGGCTCGCAGGGTCCAGCGGCAGTGGAGGTAGTTCTCATAGCTGGCCGGGTGGTTTAAGGAGGTGATGGTGTAGGTGCCGGGGTTCAGCCGGTGACTGCCACATCGCAGACTGTCGGGGCCCGAGCCAGGGGCTCTGGACTCGATCAGGCAGCGGTAGCCGCTGTATGTGCCCTTGCAGTCGGAGCAGAAGGTGGCGGTGATTCGGTTGGTGTTGAGCACAGGCTGCGGTTTCTGAGTGCCGCAATAGCGACGCCCGCCAACCAGCATGTAGTCGTATCGACACCTCGGAGAGTCCTCCAGGGTGAAGTTGCCGCATGACATGCTAAGGACCCCGCGGTTCTCCGCCAACAGACGGTAGGAGCAGATGAAGTTGTTGCGGTAGGGTCTGGGGAAGTTCGGCGACTGGATGTAGTGAAACCCCTTGGACACTGTGCGTGTGCCGCAGCCGATGATCTTACCCATGGAGCCCCTGTCTTCTGACGTCTCCAGCGCAGGCATTGCTGGTGATTTCGGCAGTCCACCAAGCGCCGGTTCAGAGTTGGAACTGGACCCAGTCGCTGTCGGGTCGAGCAATAATTTAGTGTTCCCATCGCGGTCAGAATTCGCGAAACCACCGAAAAAAGCATTTTCCGGTGGCAAAGGCTTGTAGGGCATGGCTTGCCTACCGTCCTCTGGTATCTGTGCGTTGGCCACGGCCAGCAGGCCGATGGTAGTCAGTTTGACCAGTAGCTGCATGTCAGTGCTGCAGTGCGTCCTGTAAAGTATGCTGCAGCAGTGTCGGGATGGCGGTCTTTATACGGAATCCGTCCCCGGCCTCCTGCCCGGTCCGTCACTGCTGCCGACAAATGCAAACGATTTATTGTGCGCCACATTTGCAACCTAGATTGCACATGCGGGATGAGCGCCTTGGAACGGTGTCAAAGAGGGCCAGTGGGCCCAAACTGTCACCGATGGCCGTTCGCATTACTGATGACTCTGACAAAGCGGTAATGACTTCGCGTTGTTCTCTTTATCGCGTATCAATCGTGCTAAAAGTGACGTATGAAATGTGACGATGGCAACGACCGCTCGGAGGCGTGGCACAGTGGACCACATACGCCGCGCATACAGGTGGCGTCCTCAGCCATACTTCATGGAGCGACATTCTGGTGGTGTTGCTGCGCAGATTGTGTGAGAAGTATCTCTTGTTGGCATTTTCGCAGCCGCAGAACGCCTTTTAGTTATTTTTTGGTGTCACTAAGGGTTTGCATTGGAATGTTTTGCATTGGAATAATTTGCATTGGAATATTTTGCATTGGAGTATTTTGCATTAAAGCCTTTTATGCTGAAACTCTTTGTATGAAACAACAGTTGTAACTATTCCATGCTCTACGAATGTTAAATGTGTTTGTGTTGTCTACGGATGTGCAACGTACAGCAAAGGGAACTCATGATATAAGGAAGAAATGCTTTAGCTTCGGGTTTTTTACATGATCAGTTCAAAGCTTTTTTCTCAATTAATCAACCTTCAACATACCAGAAGGTGTTGGTTAATCGACGTCATAAAACAAACATTGTTTATATTGGCAGTTCTCCGTACTGTGAATTCAACCAAGGAGTGCTGAATACAACCATGAGTCGGTGCCGTTTTCTAACAACCAACGAGTACCAAGTGTATTGAGTGCTGCCTACATTACCAAATGTTCATCTACAACGTCGTTTGACCAGTATCTCTTTGTATATTGAAGATCGATAGCTCAGTACAAAGACTTTTAAGTTATAATGCCTTGAATTTATAGCCCCGAAAGCATGTCTGGTCCGATTGCCAGACATGGTGGTTGCATCGTTTTTGTTTATTGTTTTTTGTTGTCTTTTTTTTGCTTTATACACTGACCAATTGATTTGTAGAATTGCTGGAACGCTACTAGACGTCTCCAACTCGCTGTACCACGAGTATAGGCTGTATAAAATCACATAACGAAGGGGAAATTCAAGAACCGTTTGGGTTTCGAGTACTCATGAATAAAAGACGGATAAGCAGACCGTAGCCAAGACGCCCGCTGTCTTTTTAAAACCGCAGACTTAAAGCATGAACGCAGCCCGTCTTCTTTTAGAGGTCATGTGATAAGTCTGTTTAAACTCTGCAGCGTCTTCACTCAACTTTGAGACATGTCATCATTTAGTTATTTTCACACTTCTGTGTGCCGTGGATTTGTTGTATTTTATTTAAGCGACTTCACCTGAGAGTGAAGTGCCGTTCTGTTGGCGATAAAAGAGCATAAAAAACAACACACACCATACCACATTGAGGGCAGACATCCGGTGTTATTACATCGGAGTGTTAGCCGGTAAAAATCGCCCCCCCCCCCCCCCTCCGATTCTTCTAGACGCAAAGGGCAAACCCAAACGTTCACATTTCTGCTGGAGGAGCTGGCGGCTCTGACAGATGGATCGATCCGACAGCTTTGGGCGCTTGCGTGCGGACAGCGCGATCTGCGGGCGCTCGGCTTCGATGCACCGGCCGTCGCGCCGTCATCTTCCGCCGCGGCTCTTCTGCGCGGGCCGCGCGCTGGGCCGTCACCGCCAGGCGCCGAGGAAAAACGCAATCACTCGGCTAATAGAGGCCTTTCAGAGGCGGCGGCGATCTGCTCTCAATGGGTGTTTGGCTCGCGCGTGGGCCGCGTCACAAATGCGGCACCTGGCGTCGACTGCCGGTCGAATGAGGGAGGCGGCTGGGCCCAGGATGATGGAGGGGCGCCGGGGGCCAGATGGGGCGGAATGGATCCCACGGATGGCGGGGGTGTCTGTGGACGCGGGGCATGGCGCATGCGAGCACAATGTGGGTGACTCTGACCGTGTTGGGAGGTGACTGTGACCGTACGCAGAGACCGTGGCTGCTAGGCGAGCGGGCTATGGCTACAGAGCGAGTGCAGTCCTTCAGTCTTACAAATAGCAGAACGGTTGATGAACGGGATTTCCAACCGTGCCCCCACACTTAACGTGCGTGTAAAAGGACAGTTAGTGACGACTTGGCCCATCAACGATGACGATGAGAAAGAAAGAATGAATTTGTTAGATAGCTGATAAGGCAACCCCGAAATCTGCAGAGTATATCTGCACGATAGTCCCCTGTTGACATTTCATGTCATGTATCGCACGGGCCAATATACAGTCAATATTTTTTACAGCTTTTATAGTTATTCAGGTCTACATTGCAGGGTCATCTACAGGAGATATAGCAGAAAGTGTGAGAAGAAAATAAAACATAACATATAAAGCAAGCAAATTGGCCGGCATTAAGCAGACACGTAGATATAAAGCAGCCTTCAGCTGGTGCGCATGCTTTTGATATATGCACAATGCAATTTTCGAAATCATGAACAGTTTTCTTATGATAACAAAATTTATTCTCACGCGTGATGCAGAAGACAGCGAGTTAAATTCATTTCGCCGTTTTTCTTCACGTGGACTGATAGTGGGTCGATGTGACCGCCCTCTCCCATTTCCAAACCAAAAAATAGAGGTTGGCGGAAAAATAACTGGATTGATCTCAACGAGGGCTTGCCATTGGTGATACGTATTGTGTTGCTAGCTCAGCAATTAACTTCAATAGGCCAGGTCAAAGGTCAAATTTTCCCAAAAATCTAACGCTTTATGTTTTATACGTTCATGTGCACAAGACCAAGCTAGCAAAATGAAACTTAACAGGCGTTTCCTTGTTTGATTCTGAGTACCATGCTATGCGGCCTTCTGTGTTTGACTGCATATTTGCGCTGTAGGGCTCCGATAAGGTAACGGTGTCGGCCCACCGCGTGTAGTCATCGGAATCGTCGGTTGCGGCCCACCGCCCGCGCCGGCCGTGGGTCGCCTTGCAGTGTTTCTACAGAAGTCGCTACTCAAAAACCAGAAATGCTGGAGACACTTTTTTGGCGTCAAACACGTGCAATGGTACCCCCAGAGCAACACTCCAAGAACATCCAGTAGGGTGTCTAAGATGTGAAGATAAATGCGTGCTACAAGAGTCTTGGTTCTCCGTCGGCCTCCGCACCCAATTCATTGGTGCTAATCCATCGCCCCCTGACCCCGAACCCAGACATCTGACATGTCAGACCCATTTGTTAAGCTTGGGGCGATGCTAGGCTGACTGTCGCTCGGTCCGATGCTGATAAGACCATTTTTAGCAAGGGGAGGGGAAACAGGCAGTGAATCTCAGGCCCGGGCCAAAGCATGACAAACATTGACACCCCTGCCATGCAAGTGGTCAAAAATGGAATCACTACCCCAGAGGCTACCGAAGATTTGGACGTGGTTCCATGTGCCGGAGAGGAATCCTCAGAAAAGCTCTGGAGTCACAAAGTCGCCCCATTAGGCCGAAGGCTCAGAGAGCAATTTTTGTTTTGATTTGTATATTATTGCCGTCACTTTTGAACGCCGTACAGACAATTTTCGGCGGCACACTTTGGGCATGAGTTCATAACTTGTAGAATGAAAAACATACAAATAGATCAGACCACATTTTTAACCTACTGTTCTTCCTTCACGTCATGTTTTTTTTCCAAACGAATGAGCTATTTCTAGCAACAAAAGAAAGGCTTCAAGGTGGAGTTGAACAGCTATTTTCTTTGGTTATTCTTGGAAAACGTTGCCAGCGTTTAAAAACCATTAAAAACTCATGGTGGAAAAATTGCACATATTGTGAATAGATCCGTGAATGTTCAGTGATCAATGTATTTCGGCTAAAATATTGCTTTCCGGAATAACTTAAGACACGCAACGTCCCTATGTGTCCCGATCCTTGCTCTCCGATTGTCGTTGGATCAAGCGTGCTATTTGTTGCCCCGTCATAACACACTGCCAACAAGCCCGCATTACTGCATTCTGGGTGGGGACTTTGTGACGTCATCATGGAACTAAATCGTATGGTACCCACGCTACGGCCTCTTGAAAAGCGCTGTCTTTTGCGGGCCTGATTAAATATAAACATTTTGTTAAACCGATTTTTTTTTACCTAGCACATTTGAAGAAGCATTTTCATCTGGGAAATGGCGTTGGTTTGCATCAGAGCTAAAAAAAAATCATTGTTGAGACGTGGTTCAAGCCTGCACCCGACGGAAAGATGGGGTGACCTATTTGTCAGTGATTTATTCTTAAGAACTCTGGCCGGCAGTGCATAAGAACAGCCTAAGTAAAAGAGCACAGCATACAACAACACCATAGGGTGGAGATTAGGCAGCGGAGAGAGAACGGAGATTAATTAGGAGAGAAATATAGAGAATATAAGGAATATAATATATAGAGAAATATAGAGAATATATAAAATATAGAGAATAATATAAATAGAGAAATTAGGAGAGAACGGCGGCCCAGACGGGCTTGCAGCACCCTGGGACGCGCATTGAGAAATTGAAATGCACATCTGTAGCCTTAGGAGGGGCGTTGCCAGGATGGCTGCACGGTTGGCTTTCCCTAGTGGAGGCAGTTAGGGCTGAGCCCCGGGAGGCGTAGATGCGGAGGGCGCC